TAACCATTTGAAAAAAATTATTAGACAAATGCTCACATTAACCTTTTCAGAGGCGGTATATAAAAGAATGAAAACTATAGTAAAATTTTGCATGTACTATAATACTTTATACCACTGCCCCTGCATGATATTTTTATTCTTGTAACTGCCAATAGTTATTATTATTTTTTTTTTACTCTATTTTTGCATACTTTGGATGTATATCTATAGGAATTGATGTTTGAATATAGTTATTTAAGTTTGGAACCAAAAACGTTCTACAAGACCACAGTTTCCAGTCGAAGTATGGAATCGTTATGAAGCAACTTCAGAAAAATCTCCTAAAACAGTAAATCGTTACGAAAGCTTTCATAAGGTATTAAATTTATTATTTAATTGTAGACATCCCAGTATGTGGTTTTTATTTGACGGACTGAAAAAGATTTAGCCTGTCAACGTTTATTATTAGCTATTGTAAATACAGGGTGTGCTGAAGTTAAAAAAAAAAAAAGAAAATATGAAAATTTACATTTAGGAATCGCGAATCATGTAAGAAACTATGATGAAATAGATGATAAAATTAGATATTTACACATATTAGCTAATATTCAGTAATTTTATGTATTTATAACTTTTTTAAATTTTATATTTGATTATATATAATAGGGTATTTATGTAATTTAAATAAATAATTATTTATATTTGCTATTCTTCTAAATTTTTTATATATAAAATGTGTAACTTATATTTACTATTATTTTATTTTTTTAACATTGTAATAATTTTCACGGTATATTCTGTTTCATTTTTCTTCCTTCCTCCTCTCCTTTTCCTAATTCAAAACAATCCATTTGTTAATCTAATTTAAAAAATGAATCTACACATAAGTTATACAGTTTTTGATATATATACCATAGATGTTTCCATAATTTAAATAATTTTCCTTTGAAAAATTCAAGTAGGTGTACGATGTTCAAATTGATTAATTATTGATTGATTAATGTAAGGATATTTCTATGTATTTTATTTATGTGAGCTTATTTCCATGTTTCCTAAATCTATGTGAGCTTTTTTCCATGTGAGCTTTTTTCTGTGTGGGCTTTTTTCCTGTGAGCATTTATACCTGAGAGCATTATTCCTGTGGGCATTTTTCCGGTCACCCTTTTGAAGTCATTCATTCGAAGATTTATCCCAGGCTTTCGAGCAATAGTATATGGAATTGGGAAGCGATAAGGGGAACAGTATGCATTGGGGGAAATGTTTGAGGAATTACATAATTCTACAAAGAGGGTAGGTTGTGCTCAATGCAGGTGGGCACAAGAATGTTACTCTAGGGTTTCGAAAAAGAGTACATAATTTGGAGTATGAATGCACTTCCAAGGCGAATCCGCAGAATTAGGAGTTAGATGTTTTATCTTTCTGCAGTCCTTTGAAATCATGTTTTTGAAGTGAACAATGAAGGTTTAGGTAAATCACATTTGGTTTAGTTGAAATACAGTTGATATAGTCTTCCTTTTAGTAGTAAATATCTTTTCTGCTAAACGAAACACAGTGCTCGTTTCAAATACAAAGTCATTCAGTTTTCGAAAGAAAATGAAAATCGCGCTCCAGCAAGGATGTTTGATGTTGACGATAACTCCACACGTGAGTAGAAGATTGAAACCACAGTAATTAATGTGCCAAGGAATAAAACAGACTTTATGCAAAAGAGTAAAGAAATGGCCTGCCTTAGAAGAATGTATTGCGAACTGGGTATTAGAAAATCGCTAGAATGGATTAAATGTAAGAAGACACAGCATACGCTTGTCTTAATGTGGTCAAAAAAGAATGAAAGCGAAAACTCTAAAGTAACTTTGAATTGTTGTAGTCGATTTATGGCATGGGATAATTTAGTTTTACAAAAAAAAAAAAAAAAAAAAAAAAAGCAAAAGTTCGCAAGGTTTTAGTTTGGTGCAAGTTTGTTAGTTTCAGAGATGATTGCAAGCAGATTATGCACTCACCAGAGCATGCAGAAGGCAAAAGTTGATGAACCAACCACTGTACAATTTGCTGGGTGTGAGCCAGATATTATGGCAGAAGTTGCAAAATTAACGAACTCACACAGCCAGACATTTATTCACTGAAAATAAAACTTAGATCCAAACTACCGTTGTTTCGTGCCTTCACCCGCCGATCTACTACTGCTCAGTGCATAAAAAGAGGTTTAAGTACCGTTCGTATACATTTCCTCAGGATTAATGCTAACTTGTGTTTGCAGTTTAATATATTTTATGATGAATTTAAGTTTAATATGAAGTTTAAAAGAAAAGTTAATATATGATGAGAAACAGAAAAGAGAACTTTCTCAGATTCTCTCAAAACGTGGAGAAAATTTCTTTAAAATGAATATCTCTCTAAGATAGAATTTTGGATAGTTTTAAAATTGATGTGCTTCACTGCATTTGCTAATGAAATTTTTAAGTTACCCATGACTTGTAAGAGATTACTTTAGTAGAATATCATTATGCCCATACTTAGTGCGAACTCAGATGCAAACTGGAAAAGAATTTTTTTTCCAAGTTCCCAGCTACATTAAAAATTTCATTCTACTAACATATTAAATTTATGCATATGAATTAGAGTGACATGTACAAGAATTAAGGCACTCACAGTTCTCCTTAATTTCAAATCCATTTTTGAATAGAAATCTATGTTTTCTTTTAAGGTATGAAATCACGCACAACAGAAACAACTGTATATCACTTAACTTGTCAAATATTGGCCAAAAATTTGCGTATATCGCACAAGTAGCAGCAATCGCCCCAGTAAAAGGCAGAGACTGTAGCTGCAGCAGCGCAGTACAGATTCGAGCACAGCCGAGCCAAGCAGAATATGTAAGCTGCCAAAGAAACTGTTCTGCCAAGGAACTGGCTGTCAAGTCCAGTATCCTTGCTGATTCTACCAAAGAGGAGAAATATACACTGATGGCTCTTGAACAACAGAAAAGGATGTGAAATTAAAATACATTACAATGATCTAGAATCACAAGATTTTAAATAACAACTTGAGAAAGAAAACAGTGTTTTTCAATCAGAAATCTATGCAGTTCTTCAAGCAGTCAAACAAAGCATTACTAAATATTTCTCAAATCTGTATATTTATACTGACTGCTTATCTGCAATGCATGCCATCGCTAATATAAGTAATAAATCATAACTTATTCAAGAAATTCTAGATAAATCTTCTAAAACCCAAGGTCATCATTTTTACATAATATGAATATAAGCTGATATTGGAGACAAATGCAATGAAGAGGCTGATCAGCTAGCCAAAGAGACAGCCCAAGTTTTTTCTGCTAAAAAAAATATTTCGCATGGCCAGCTTCACACCTAAATTCAAAATTACGAATTGCTAGTAAACATTTATGGCAACAATGGTGAGATATCACCGACACAGGACGAAGAGCATACAACCTATTACCAAAAATCGACTCTTCTATTCCATACAGTACCAAACAAATCACATGGTTCCTCACTAAACACAGCCATTTTTCCACGTATTTCTATGCAAGGAATATTTCATCTACATATTTTTGTGCATGTGGAGAAAGGGGTGAACCAGAAACACTATATGTTTCTAATGTGCATTAACAACGCCATTACATCTAAAAATACCTAGCTTAGAGAAGGAACGTATACCTTTTCTAATATTTGCAAATAAAAAAACAAAAATACAAGAAAAAATTTGGGGAAAATTTTGGATTTCTTAGCTGGAGGCCAAGAACTTTGCAGCGCAAGTTAACTACCATCAATCATTATGAAGGCTAATTACCATGAGCGTCTCTGATTGTTAACCATTTCTTGTGATTAAATTTTATCACACTGGATGCTATATGAATGCTGCATGTCATCTGCTTATTGAAAGGATGTTGGTCAGCTGGATATGTAGTGTATGAGGTCAATACCCATTCACTTATGGTAAATACTGGGTGGCCTCTACACTTATGCCGACCTAGCTAACAGAAGCATAGCTAGGGTTTTCAGCGCCTGGGGACAACTGAAGATTTTTCACCTCTTTCTGTGTGCCAAGAATGTAAAGCATTTCATTCTAAAATTTCATAACATGAATTTGGCGCCCCCTAGATGCTGCAGTAACGTACAGCTGTCCCTCCTTGCCCCACCCTAGCTATGCCACTGCTACCTACCTACCAAAGAAGAGAGGTCAGCTCCAGTAATCAAGTGGGTTCTACAGCCGAGATTCAAGTCTACAGTAAGTTGAATGGATCCTTCAACAGTCTGACCTTGTCCCGGAGAGGTTGAGCTAAGTAAAGCCGTGTGATATTACTGAGAGATGTCCAACTCCACCTAAGTCACTGTTCTTGTTAACCTTCTTTTGTTATCTTTTCTCCAATTTAAGTTGGTTTCAGTAACGAAATCATATTTTGGTTTAAGCTCCTATAAAATTAAGCATCGAAGTCAGATCAACACAAGTTTTCCAAAAATTAAAGTTTTTCAATCAGGTCCCAAAAGTTAATATAATTACTATGCACCTAAACATTACACATTAGAATATACAAACAAACATTTTTCTTATGTTTAGTACAAGTAAATTGTGAATTGAAATCTATTTTTATTAGAAACTAATGTTCAGAATAAAATGCCGAAACAAAATACATGTGAACCTAAGCAAATTTTTAAACTCTTTTCAGTGGGATCTCTTAATGAATGTAAACAAATAAGAATCTAAATTCAATGGATATTTAAAAAACCTGTAATATGAAAAGAGATACTTGAATGAATTTTTGAAGTTTCAAGAAATTACACTTGTTTAAAAAATTTAATTAGATGAAAGTAAAGAATTGAAAGACAAATATTTAACATTTTTAATTATAAAATAAAATTTAGTAGTAAAATTGAAATTTACATTGTCTGCTTAATCGAAACTCACCTTTTGTACCTTTATTAAGCTTATTAATATAACTGAACTAGAAAGAAGATTTAATGCAACAAATGTATAAGTATTCTAAAATCAAACAACTCAGATTAGAATTTCAGAAACATATATTTATAAAATAACAAATCCATGGCACAATATAATGTACAAAATAAAATAAAATACAAAATGATAAATATATAATAATAAGATTTCACACTATACATTTGTATCACAGCATAAACAAAAAATAAATGATCTGGCACAACTTTTTAGAAATGATTAATGTAACACTTTATAATCTTTCTAAATTAATATCAGTTATTTTGACCTGTCCTTCAGGTTTGCACTTAAAGCATTACAATGAGCATAAGAAGGAATTTTCCTTATAAAATACTCTTTTGACTATAATACACAACTTATACCCTCAGCTTAATATTAAAAAAATGTACTTGAATAATTTATCCCTTATTCTTTAACTTTTATATTAAAAGAAAACATATTTGCTTTAGTTTCATCTTAAGGCAAAATATTCAGATTAGTATACATAAATTAATTTAAGTTTTCGTAAAATACTTTGATATATTAAACAAAGGATGCTTTTTTAATGCACAAGCCTATATTTTATATATATATGAAAAATTTGACAAATTCAGGATCACCTTACATATGAAGTAGTCTTATATTCAAGATAATATGATAATCACAAATTTCCTATTGGGAAAAATCGCAAAACAGTAGTAAACTGATAGAAAAATTAACGTACAGCTAAAGAAAATTCAGCAACCTTTCCTTAAAATTTCCACAACTAAATATCTGAAAACTTAAAACCTGTATTCGAATGTTTTATGAAAACGTGGACACAATTACATAATACACATTCTAGTTTTAATCATTACACTGCAAAATACTGAATATGCTATCACTCATAATATATCATGCTATTGATACATTGCTGTTCAGAAAAACTGATACATTGAAAAAGAGCTATTAGATAAGCCACAGATGTGGAAGATGGATTGTTTATCACATGAAATGCAAATTATTACAAGATGAGCTATGTATGCAAATAGGATGTACATGAAATACTGCTTGAAAGTGGACCCGATGAATAAAAGAAAACTATAAAAGCCCAAATTGTGTACTGTACACTATTCCATACAACAATTGTTCACTGAGCAAAGGAAACATGCCTTGGCTCTCTTATACTGTGAGATCCTTTCTCATAATGGGCAACATGCCAGCACAGTTATGTGTACTTGGAGATAATCAACTAAGCAAGATTTGAACCATCAACAAAAGGAGGCTCAGAACATCTTCAGCCACATCACAATAGAAAGACAAGATGCAGGGTATTCATGGCAATAATGAATTGAGCAAAAAGAACTATAACATTATTATATGACAGAAACCTGTCAGGTGATGTTTGCCTGCACTGTTTACTAATAATCTGTACATAAAAGGCTTATAGATGAGCATCTGTTACTATGACTGTTATTGACCCTGAAAACACAGATCACAGTACCTTCAGTTATGCAAATATTTAAGACACTGATGCATTGTATGGGCAACAATATATTTTTCTAGGAGTATAAACATAATTGCTGGACCCACAATGGTAAAATTTTCATTTTCCATTATAATGGTATCAAGATGGCTACGCTGCAGAATGTCATAGTAGTTTCAGCCCAGAGGCATTATACTTTGAGAAGAACAATATTTTATTCATGCTATTGCTTTCTATATGTGGCAGATATTATTGAACAGTCAGTACTACATCAATGAAATCTTAGAATAAGAAGTTCTATCATTCCTATGGAACTTTCCTGGCATTAATTTTCAGCAGGACAATGCTAACACCCTCAGTTCACATGCATATTCAGTACTTCCTTCATATTTTATCAATTATTCCTTGACCTGTGTAGTCACTTGATTTGTCCTGCACTGAGTAGGACATAATTGTGCAAAAAATGGCTCATATGTCAGCATCATTGGCTACCATTGATGCTCTGTGGTTGTGTATTAAATTTGCAAAAAATAGCATTTCATTAGACAGTCACCCAGGATATTTTGTTGGTTAAGGCATGGCATGCACAGTTCCTTACAGCCACTAAAAGTAGGTAGAAAAACTGCTTAAATTAGTTCTTTTGATGGACAGATTTGCCTTTTCAATCATTTCTACCTTATATCATATGTCACTGCTCTTATAAATATTTGTATTGTAAACTCGTATTCCTTATCTGAACTGCAGTTGAATAAACAGAGTGTGTTTATGGTAAACAGTCATACAACAGTTTCTAAATTTTAATATAGAATTAAATTGTTAAATTTTCAAATTTAGTGCATGATTAAATCAATAATTCTCTTAACTTTATTTATAACATATTTACGAGATTTTCATAGTTTCACTTATGTGCTAATTATTGACTACTGATTTATTTAACTAACTATTGACTTATAGCTGGCAATTAATTGTTCCAAATGCATAACAGATGATAAAAACTCATCTTCACTTAAACCATACTGTACATAATGATGAAAATATGCTTTGTAAGAAAACATCTTCCATGCTTTTTCAACAGCCACATCAACACTTGAAATGGATAGCTGCCCATTATTTACAAGTAATGCAGTTCTGTCATAGCAAAGAAAAGGATGAGATTGATTCCAGGTTTTGAGTCTTAAGGAAGCAGGGACCCAGGTTGCATAAGGCAGAGATGGCTTGTGAAGAAGATCAGAATCAGCAGATTCTGAATCCCGACCCCGAAGAACAAGAAGGTTTGCAAGTGAAACAGGAGGTGTAGAAACAATATTTGAAGATGAATTACATCGGCCATAAACTGGAAGTAACAAATAAACATATGTCATAAATAATTTTAAAATTCAATAAATTCTAAAATACCTTAAATTAATTAAGTAAAGGTTTTGGATTACTTAACAATCTTCCTTTACACTGGCAGCCATATTTCAAAGAAGTGATTAATTTATGTAATAACAAAGCTATATTTCTGTTAAATTGTATTAAGCAAACATTTTAAAGATTCCCTATAGAAGTATGCTATATCAATACATTTTAAATCATTTAACAGATTAAAGATAAAAAATTTTAATTGTCATAAAACACTTTAAATCAGAATAGTATAAATTCAGTCTTCCAACTATCATGTTTTCTAATTAATAAACTGTCCTTGTTTTGAGATTTCTGCACATATTAACTTTAGAATATTTCTGTATGGTTGATATATGTATAAAAATTAATTGCTTTTATTGGAGCATTGCAGATAAATAATAATGAATTACAGGATTGCAAAATCAGTCGCTCCAGTTTATTTCTAAATGAACATTTTTACTGCTTTATTTTTTTTACTGGTCAGTATGTATTTTACCCTGAAAAAGGATGAAAACTGATGCTATTATAATGTTAGGCAAACCAGTGCACTGTGAAACTTCTGTTCAAGGATGACTTCCATGTACACAGCTCATTAAAGAATGTTGCAAGAAAAAACTGAGAGATCATTTATCTTAAATAACACAATTTCAAAAACGCAGTGTATCCTTAGAAATGTTATGCATTTTTATTTCTACCTTTAATTGCAAAAGATAGTTTCTCATGGATTATCTAAAAAGGTTTTGACTTTTTCAGTTCTCACTGATGGAATTCGACTTTAATTAGCAATACAGTAATTTTAAAATTTATTATTTCTGTACAAATCAGTTTTAGATTAGCATTATTGCGAGAGAATTTGTGCAAATTACTGCACAAATCTGTACAGAATTTTAAGCCAATGAACTTGCAGAGTCCTTAGGTTTTTCTAAAGCAAGAGAGGTGAAAATGTGCCATTCCCCCACCGGGACTCAAACCCTGGACCTCTCAAATATGCATCAAGTATGCTTCCAATTACACCACGAAGGCATGAGGAAAGGATGGAGAAAACACCTTATAACTTTTCGTCTATAAAACAAATTGATTATTTTTACAGGTTAAGCTATTTACTACAGAACAGTACTTAAAAAAATGCTATATGCCTCATGAGGGATGCTTTTACAGCAGGGGTTTCCAAAGGGGTCAATGATGATCAAGGTGTAGATTGGGGGTCAATAACTTAACACGGAATGGCAATTGATCAAGGATCCTATTGATTACAAAAAAAATTACTAATAAATTATATAATTAATTGTTTATTGATATAAAGCTATATCATGTAGTATGAAATCACATAAAATAAATAAAAAGGAACGAAATATACACAATTTATATAACATATTAAAAAATTTGGGCAATAAATGCAATATCAAAAAGTAAAATGTACCATGACTATTTGCAGCATTCAGACTTTCTAATACCACGATAGAATTTTCCTTGAAAGTGAACAACCCTTGATTAATAAAATTAATAAAATTCAAAAAGGCATACTTTCCACTTAGCTAATATATGTTCATTGCTCAATGCCATATAAAACAAACTAAAAGAAGAGACATTTTTCATTCAAAAATTGACTTCGTTTTATTGATGCTGAAATGAAAAGAATTCCATCACTTCAATAATTTAATGTGACTGTCTGTTATTGAAAAGGATTGTATTTCCTCAGGAGATATATGTTCATATATGACCACTTTCAAAATTTAAGACACAATTACAATGTTCAATTCCAAGATACTAAAAATTTAAATGAGTTAACATGGCTTATAGAACCGTCGAACTGCAAAATATCTGTTTTTGACACTATGATACAAGAAGAGTTGATTGCATTGAAGGTGGATATCCAAGTACAGGTCTTATTACAATACACTGGTGTGCTAAATTTTGGAATTTGAAAGTCATCTGAAAGAAATATTCCAGAATAAAAAATTTTACCGAACCAATTTTTATTGACTTTTACCTCATCTTACCTAGTAGAAGCAGGCTTTAGTCAAGTCAATAATTTTCTACAGGAAACAAGAAGCAGGTTGAATATTTGTGAATGAGATGATTTAAAAATTAAGTTAAGCAAGTTTATGCCAAATATGTTTTTTAAAATGTATCAATACATCAATGGCAGCCATCATATTAATTGAAATCAAACTTTTGTGCAATTCAAATCTGTGATTTCTTTTCTGAAAATTTTATATTTGTAGGATAAAAAATATGAAAATAAATTCTAAAAAAAATCTGAAAGCTTTCAGATTTTTTTAGAATTTTGTGTGTTACCATTATTTATTAAACATCATGTTCTTCACACGTTAACCATAAAATTCAATTCAACAGCAATATCACAAAATATTTAAAAGGGCATATCTTTAGAATTTCAGATGCACAGTCTCGCACTAGCAACCACCCCTCAGTACCATTGTTTTATCGCAATGCAAGAAACAAACATACATTTACGCAGATTCTTCATTATTTAATTTCTTTAAATATAACACAGGGCTCTAATATTTGATGACAACAATTTAAAAAGTGATTCGCCGTTTATTATGAATCAACGCAAAGTGTCAAAACAAAATTAATAGCCCTTCTGTGCTAATTGCTCCTTTTTGCTAAAAATAATGAAACATAAATCTAATAAACCATTCTTTCCAAAATTTATTTTCATACTTTTAATTAATTGTATTATGATTATACTGTTTTCTGTGTATTATAAAGAAAAATGTAAGGGTTTTGATGAAGAGAATCATTCTTTTAAAAAGGGTCAATGTAAGAAAAATGTTGAGAATCTCTGCCTTAGAGTATGACCTTCTAAAGGAAATTCTCTCATATTTACTTTAGACAAGGCATAATCTTTTTTTTTTTTTTTTTTAATGGAGATAAGTTTTTTTCAGTCAGTGTGATATGAAGCTGGAAAGTTATACCTCTTTCTTTTTAGTGGGAAACTTATTTAAATTGCATCAACTATTAATTAAGATTCTATGTCACCTTTAATCAATGAGTCTGGAAAATTAATTGACAAAAATGTTATTTTTAATTTAAAAAAATACCTATTTTCATCTATTTCAAAATGCAAAATAAAAATTTAATAGCAAATTCTATTTTATATGACAATTACTTTTATCAGAATACAATTAGTTCAAATGAATCACTTCACAATTATATGAAATACATTTACTTAAAGTACCTTCATCAATCACACTGTTATATAGAACCATTCTACGAAGAGTTCGAAGAAGTCCAGGCCAAGTATGAACACTAAATGGAACAGAAGATAAAGGCTCTTGAGGAACTGATCTGAGGCCAAGTAATTTGAACTGAGGATGAGGTACCAAATGTGCTAATACATCACCTGGAAATTTAACATATATTACTTATCTTAGACAAACTGAAAATATAGGAAGATATTTTTAGCTATATTTAGACAGATAAATTTCACTTAAAATTATTTAAAGAATAAAATGCAATATATTATTAGGAAATTCACAGAAGCCAACACAAAATAACAGAATTTGTTAAAGAGCAAGACAAAAAGACTAACACTTATAAAATATACATCTGAATTGATAAATGTAAAAAGAGGCTATGTTACAAAAGTCAAAGCTTACAGGAGCAACCAAAATCCATCCTACTCCTCACAAAAATGTAATTTTTTGTTGACTAGTCATGGATTACTAGTCAACAAAAAATTACATTTGTGTTCACTAGTAATCCATGTAATTCAGCATTTTTCACACATCTTCTGACATTCTTGTGAGAAATGGGATAGTTTATTGTTGCTCCTTGAAAATTTGACTTTTATCACATAGTCCCGTTTTACATCTTCCGATTCATATATAATTTGACATATAATTTATACATAAACAATATTAAAAAACTTTTTTATGTAATTATGGGACACACTGCATACATTTGTTCCTTTAATAATAAATTCCAGTCACTAACATATGTAACAGTAGTTTTTATATAATTAAGTTTAAAACAGAATCTTACTCAGCATAGGGTTTATTCCATAATCACTTTCAACTGGTAACAACAAATTTGCTAATTGTTGACTAGCAACATAATTGATATCATGTATGGAAGCCTTTTTTAAACCCATTTTCTGTCGGCATAGCTTGAGTAGCCAGTCATTTTCAATCATGAAGACTGCATCTGCAGATTTTTGTAAAGCAGCAAGACTTAAAACAGCATTGTATGATTGTACTGATACCTCTCCTTTCTGAAATGGCCAAACTGTCTGAAATTATAAATATATTTATTAATGGTCAGAACTATATCTAATAAATAAAGACAGAAAAATACAAATGGAAATAAAGCAATAAAATACACAACACATACTAAAAATTTTACAATTACATCTATAGCTCAAGGCCAAACTGCATTCATTTGTAAATAAATTACTTTGTCATATTGAATGGTGTTTTTTTATTAATACATAATGGCTCCCAAACATGTTGGAATATATCCAAGTCTACAGTATAAACAGAAGCATAGACAGGTTAAATCTGCATTCTTTAAATAATATTTTACTCCACTTCTTATAAAATTATACAGAAAATTTATCCACAAAATAAATTTTAAATAACATCTTTACTCCATTTTCTTACAAAATTATACATTAAATTTATCTAAATAATAAATTAATAAATAAAAATAATAATCAGCAATATTATTTTTAAAAATCAGCTTTTTTGATGACTGAAATGAAAACAATTAAAATATGCACTACACAGAAGTTGTTGTTTCACTGTATGCGTGTTAGTTCGAAAATGAATTTGGACACCTCATGGAGATGAACTATAATTCTTTCATTGTAGCTATTATACTTCAGGTTACACAGGCTGTTTTAATTTGCTTCGCAGTTTTCAGTAGTCCAACTTAACTACTTTAAAAGATGCAGAATTTACTTCTTGGTGTTGCTCTTAGCGGTCTCACTCTCAGTCACAGCTCATTTACTGCAGGCTCTGTCGTTAATGTACTCCATGGTGTCATTGCTTGTGATACAACAGAAGTAATCACAAGAAAATCTATAGTTTATATACATATTTATAATATTCTATCCATTTTTAGTTCACATATAAAATGCTAATAACAGACATTTTTATTCAGTACTCTGAACAAAAATATGAGCTTTGAAGTTCTTCCGAATCCTAGTATCTTCATCAATTTGTAATATGCTAAACTAAATTTTGAAAAATATTCTTTTAATGACCTACAGATGTTGCTTCAGCTGTAAACAATGTCTGATGATGCTTAATTCACCCCCCTGGCTAAGCCGATGGGTAAATGGAGTATTGAGATATAAACTTGAGTAAAACTTCATATTACCATTTCCATATTTTTCTTGTAAAAATTCTATAGCTTTTTGCTTTTCATTAGTAAATAAGTAATCTAAAATATGCCTTTTTTGAATATATTTAGAAACAAAATTTTCATTATAATCAGTGATTAAAAGAGCAGTTTAAATGAACAATTTAAGATCATTGATATTATCAGTTTCAAAGTACAAGAATTCATAAGGTTCATTTGCAGCACTGATAAGAAAGCTGCTGCTCAGGTATATCAGTGTAGTCTTACCAATCAGTAATCACTATTTTGATAAATGTTAAAAAGATATAAAAACAGCTTGGACTGAGTTTTTCACTGCTGTTCCAAAAGAAAGACATACACACACACACACAAAAAAAAAAAAAAAAAAAAAAGTTTAATGGAGTAATTTTAAATGCTGAAATAAGTCTACTGATGCATAATTAATGCAATTTGAATAATATATACTAAATAGCTTAATTATTTGTTAGAAAGAGAATTTTTTCCATCGTCTTAAAAATTATTGACCAGACTATAAATCTATTCATATTACAATAATATTTAGCCATTAATGTGAAACACACATGTAAAATAATCAAGAACTGCAGAAATAAATACGCATAAATAAGAAATAAATGAATATGACCCTTGGAATAAAAGTTAATTTAAAAATTCATTTTCCTCCAAAAATAAAACAGTAGTTGAGAATTAAGTTCAAAGAAATTCAGTATATCCTATTTAACAGTTCTAATTTTCTCTTCTTTTATAACTATATAAATAAAAAACATGAATAAGTGTAGAAGATGCATAATTTTAACTTTAAAAAGCTTTAACTCTTTGGAATAGTCTTGTCGCCATCAAAATGCATTGAACCACTTTTAATAATGTTTCTAAAATCCAATTTTAACTGGCCTATATAGACATAATTTTTTTTAAAAAAAATGTGATATAATATTAGAATACATTAAAAAGCACAGCAGTCTGAAGCAACATATTTAAAAAATTAACAGCCTGGAGCAAAATATTTTAAACTTAAGCACTTAAGAATAGCATATGAAAATTAAAGTAATATTGATATGGGTAACAGAAAAATACAGTGTCTCACAAAAGTGATGGGATACTTGTGCTTTACAAAAGAAAACTAGTAAAATAAATTTAAAAAACATGTAAAAATTTTTTGTGGGTGTGTTTCATACTTAAATTTAGTAACAATTATTACATAACATACATTTTTCAAAATATTAAAATATTAATTTAATAAAAATACAATTGTTTAGAACGGAGCAATAAATGGCTCACATAAGTGATGGGACACTTACTTTTCCATGAAATATTTATCCAAAAATTTTACTTTTTAAAAGTTTTTAATATTTTGTTGGATTTCCTTTTACTTTTAAAACATGATTTAATCTTCTTGGGATGGATTCGACTAATTTTTTTTGTGATTTTTGGAGTTATTTTACCCCATTCTTCTTGAAACACCGATTTTAATTGTTGTTTTGAAGAAATAGTGTGTTTGCGAATTCTTGATTCCAATTCTTGCCAAATATTCTGTATGGGATTTAAGTCTGGAGATTGTGGTGGTGTTTTTATTATTTCAGGACAGTTATACAGCAGCCAGAGTCTAATGTTCATGCAGTGTGCGTGGGGTCATTGTCCTGGTAGAATTTAAAATCGTTATGAAGGTTCAATTTTCGCGCTGAAGACTTAAAATTTTGATTTAAAATGTCAATATACTTGTACTGATCCATTATACTGTCAATAAAAACAAGAGTACCAACTCCAGCGGACGACATACACCCCCATACAATAACTCCTCCTCCACCATGTTTTACTGTTGGCACCAAGTTCTGTTTTCGAAATTCTTCCCTGGGTTTTCTCCACACCAAAATTCTACCGTCAGAACCAAATATATTAAATTTACTCTCATCAGCAAATATAACTTCATTCCAGTGATAAGAATTCTTATTTATGTTGGATTTTGCGAAAGCCAGAATGAGTTTTCTATTCTTTTCACTTACAAAGAATTTTTTCCTGACTGCTCTACCGTGATATCCAGCATATCAAATTACTCTTCTAATAGTCTCAGGTTTAACAATTACTCCATATAACGCTTGTAAAACAGCAGCAATTTTAGGAGCACTCATTCTTCGATTTTTTTTTAATATTTCGAACGATAATTCGCTTTATTCCATTGGATAGCTTTGATGGTCGGCCAGGTCTTCTTTTATCCTGAATCATATGATTCTTTTTATATCGTTTAATGATATTGTAAACTGTTGAATGACTCAAGTTAACTGTTTCAGGAGTTTCTCTAATAGATTTTCCACGTTCAATATGAAAATTAATAACTAATTTTCGAATTTCAGGCAAAGTTTCTTTTCGTTTAGCATTCATGGCTGCACAAAGCTAAAAAACACAAAAATTCCAAAACAAACTGGAAAGAAATACCGCAGACGATTTTATAAATTATTGCCAATTGCTTTTGAGTAAAAATAAAAACCTCAAAAAATATTTTTATTGTAGTACGTAGTAGTATCCAATGGTGTCCCATCACTTATGTGAGCCATTTTTTGCTCCGTTTTAAACAATTGTATTTTTATTAAATTAATATTTTAATATTTTGAGAAAATGTATGTTATGTAATAATTGTTACTAAATTTAAGTATGAAACACACCCACAAAAAATTTTTACATGTTTTTTAATTTATTTTATTACAGTTTCATTTTGTAAAGCACAAGTGTCCTATCACTTTTGTGAGACACTGTATGTCCCTAAAATTTAAAGTGTTAAATTCAAAATATATTATACCTTGAAACATCATGACACAAGATAAGAAATACAAAAGTTTAATATCAGCTTATAATATACTCATCCGAGTTCCTTAAACTATACAGAAAGCCAAGAACTTAATATCCTTATGCAAAGAAAAGACTAAATAAAATAACTAATTTAAATATGTAAAGCACAGCAGCAAAAATTTTCACTAATGCTTTAATTAAGAATAAAGTTTCACATCACTCATAATTTATGCATTAAATAGACAGATTAAAAAAAAAGTGTCATACATAAAAAATTGATTGGCAATAAGTTTCCCTTGAAGGTATGTAATGACAAAACTAAATGAATAAGTTCAAAGTATGATTAGAGAAATCGTATGCATTCTTTTGTCCATTTACCAAATGAAGTAATGTACTAAATTGTTCTGAAATGTTTAAAACCGAGTATCTTTTTGTTATTTAAGTTTTTGACTAAAGAAAACCTTAATCCCTAAGGAATAAAACAATAAATATTCAATGAATACCCTAATTCTTTTCCTTCCTATTCAACGATGAAAGACTGGGTAAAATAATTTCTCCTGGACCAAGAATTCTTAGAAGATTGTGGTGAAGGCTCATTTGTGGACTGTGAAATACTGTAACCATTCAGTTCTTAATAGCAAGAAGCACAAAAGGTGTGGATATTCACTGCCAGATATGTGATGCACATGAATGACAGTAAATTATAGTACTGAAGTATAAAAATGAGTGAAATTGTTCAAGTCAACATAATTATGGAGACATTAAAACAACCATGAATAACTATCGTTGTAGGCGACAGACTTGTGTGAGAAGGGTATATGGAAAGTTGTTTGTTCTGATAAATGTTTAAACTGACAAATTGATTATGAAGAAAAACAGATAATTGTGTACAAATCTAGGCAATATGTGTTTTGTTGAAAAAATATTTACCTGTTTTATTTTTATGCAAATGGATCTCATTTAAAAAATAACCCTTGCATATTCAGGTAAAAAAAAGCATGCATTATGAATTAACTAAATATTTAAATAATTGACAAACACTTTTAATTACAAGATACATATATACTTACAATGTTGGCTGAGGATACAGATGGAAAGTCATCAAGAAGAATTTGAGAAAGATATGACCCAAGTCCACTGCCAGTTCCTCCAGCCACTGAGGAGAATATCAGAAAACCTTGAAAATGATCACAGCATTCTACTTCTCTTCGCACGGCATTCATTGTTTGATCATGAAGTAAAGGCCCATGGTAATTGTAACCCATTGCCCAATTGTTACCTGCACCTTGCTGCTGAATTATCTGAGAGTCACCTCGATAAGACCACAAAGCATCTTTAGAAAACTTCACAATTTCTTTGATTACCTATCAGAAAATCAAATAAAATGAGCTATATGCACCCAAATAAGCTTAATAAGAAATAGAATGAAAATAAACTATTTGTTATGCAAAGATTTTTGGGCAATGAATGTAAAATTTATAAACATAACATTAGATTAATTTCAGAATAAAATCAGTTTTTAAAAAATGGTTTCAAGCATAAAATACTTTATTCAGACAGTAGTCCCTTAATTACACATTTCTCATTTATATGTCAAATTTCAGTGGTCTCAGTCAAAGGTATAGTAAAATAATATAACTTGGGTTTCATTTATAGATCTGAGTTGAATATTCATTTATGCATTTTTTGATTATGTACATGAATGTTTTAACTTTACAGTTTTTCCCACATCACTTCTCACCTGAATACATTTTTAAAGCAAATTCAGCATTTGTAGCTTTTTAGCCCAAAGGGGCAATTTGCCCAGAAAGGCTATTAATTTCGTTTTGGCATTTTGCCTTGATTCCCTATAAACTATTTTTAAATTGTTGCCACCAAATATTAGAGCCCTGTATTATATTTATAGAAATTAAATAATGAAGAATCTTGCATAAATGAATGTATGTTTGTTGCTTTGTTATAAAACAATGATACCTAGAGCTATCCAATTTTGAATAACGTAATCCTCAACCGAATATATGCATCTGAGAGCCCTAATTTGGAATTTGTTTTATTATCGATTCCATATTTTGTAACACTTTAATGTATATTTGATTAACAAACTCAATGATTTCAAAGCAAGCAATGGCAACAGTGTGCAGGGGGGGGGCATTTTTATCTCCAAAGCGCGAGACTGCCTATCAGAAAATTTAAAGATATGCTCTTTTTAAATTATTTTTTGATAACTGCTGTTGAATTGAATTTTATGGTTTAAGTGTGAAGAACATGATATTTAATAAATAAAGGCAACATATTAAACGTTAAAAAAAAAAAAAAAAAAAAAAAACCTTTGGGCGTAATTTTAAATCTAAAAGCCTGGTTTATTTTTTTATTTTTTTTAAACTTGTGTGCAGGCCAGAATTAATATTTTTACTGCCAGGTGCAAACTCTATAGATCCTAAAGCTGCCTGGTGCCTCAGATGATTAAATGCAAGTGGAATGAAAGAAAGATCTCATATAAAGAATCTTCAGTGCTTGAGAAGAAACTTGGACAGTCAAAGTTTAATTTTATGCATCATAGATAAGTATGTTTGTTAAATCATTTGTCATACAATTTGGAAAATAATGACTCTTTTTTTACTTACCCTGTATTATAAATATTATATTATAACTGACTGGTATACAACATTTTCCTTAGCATTCACCCCATTTTCATTCAATACATTTATATTTTAGGACATCTACCATTTTTGCATACAGTTATGCCTGAGTTTTATACATCTCATTTATGCATTTCATTATTTCTCTTAGTTACATTACCTTTAGTTTTGCCTTTTGCATGTTAGTAAAGAATTAGTAGTATCTAATTCTTCACCAAATTTTGCGTTTATGAATGTTCTTCAAAGCTGGCAATGAGTTTGAGACTTTTTGATGAGGTGAGGTAATCAGAAAATATCAAAATAAGTTTCTACTTTAAAAGTTATATCTATAACTTATCGACACTTTCTGATTATCTACACCCTCACCAAGGAGTTGCAAACTAGTTAACGACTTTGAAGAGAAATTGGTGGATATTGAGTTTGTGCAATTCGTTGTCTTGTTATTTTGGCTTTGAATAGTGGCGATTTTTGGGCCGCTACACAAAGCCAAAATAACAAGACAAAGAATTGCACAAACTCATTATCCATGTCAGGGGTGTTTGTGGGACCACAAAAAATCCCCTGAAACTTTTACGGACTTACTACCGGCATTTTGAAGTTTTGAGAACTGGGGGGAGAGAAATTAAAAATTACAATTATGAAGTATTGAATGACCTAATTATAAAAGTTCAATGAATTATTTTTTTTGCAAAATTAATAACCATAAATTTTCAAACATATAAACTACTACATTTTATGTAAATAATTTAAATTACCTGAATTAATTCTTTAAAAAAAATTATCTAATTTCTGCTGCTTTTTTTTATTTTCTGATGTTTGTGGGCTTGTCTTTCTTTTGTGGTGAACTTCATAATTGCAGGAAGGTTGACTTTTATTTTCCTCATTTACAGTTGAAGAAATTTCCTCGAGAACTGCACATGCAGAGGTAGAAGCAGTTTGCTTTTCTGCTAATGTAGAAGGTTTTTCAGAGACTTTTATAGGTGACTCATCTGAAATACATGTTTTTTAAGTCCTCTTGATATGTTTTCCAACTTCTGTTCATATTCAGTAAGAGATCTTTGTGAATTGGATCAGTCATTGGATTTTTTAGCCATATTTTTCACATGAGGTTTCTTTAGAAGCCATTAAATCATATTTAATAGTCTGCACTGCATCTAGGGAATCAATCTTAAGAGAGGTTCTATAGTCAGTGACAAGTGTATCCATTAAGTTGAATGCACTTTCCACTAATGGGCCATGGAAGCAGCTAAGGCAGGCTTTGACCAATTTAGCCAATGTAGGATACTTATAATCATTTGTGAAATCATCTTTTAAATTAAAAACTTTAGACCAATATTTATCAACTGTACACTTGACTTGATTTCCACTTTCATCAGATGTGTAGAGCATTTCTTTGGTGATATCAATATCACTCTGGTATAACCTTATTTCAGCTTCTACTTTTGACTTTTCATTATCACTAAAAATATGGGACATAAAAGATGATAATTTTTCAAAAGCTAATATTGTACTGGTTTTTACCTCTTAGCTCTGGATCTAATGCTGTAAAACTAATTAGATATGGATTTTTAAGGGGTAATTTCTGTTTCATATGCTGTGATGTATTAGTATAAGCTTTCATCAAAGAAATTTGGAATTCTTTTGCTATTGGATGAATTTTTTGATAATTTCTTCAGGAGAGTGGAAGCTTCTGCACCAGTAAATATTACTTTGCTAGGTAGATGGAATTCTGGATTTGTGACATCAACCTTTAATAAATCATTATAAGATGTGCACTCTATATTTTCTGGCTTCATAAAAAAAGAGAAAAATTTTGCCATCAATTTATAAATACTGGAATGTATTAAATGAAGCATTGTTTTTTTTTTTTTTTTTTTTTTTTTTTTTTGTTTCAAATAATTTAATATATGTGTTGAACTCTGGTAATACTGCTGAATATAATGCCATATGCAATAAAGTTTTGTTTTGCATAACAAATAACCCATTTAGTATTCTTTTTTTTTTCCGAGCTAAAGCATCCTTTGTGAGTTGTTGGGAATGCAAGCAAGAATACACCCCTTCAACAATTTTTTTTCTGAGCTGCAGAAATATTTCTTTTATTGTATACAGTTTCAACATAAGAAAAATAATCCCCTTTATCAGTTTTATCCAAGTAGTGAAAATAAAATGCAATAAGAGCATCCCACAGATCTTTGATTCTTTCTAAAACACATAAAATGTACACCCACCTATGGTCTGGTCTCTTCAAGGGCTTAAGTTTTTTAATGGCAAGGGATTCACAGATTTTGAAAAAATTTCTCTTTTACTGCAGCTTTTCATATCAAAATAGATGTCATCAAACAAATCTTCTAAGTATCTATCAAAACATGAAGCAAATTTTTTTGCACAGTTATTAGCTGTGTGACATGTGTCACCATCAATATCTAATAAGTGGGGTGCTTTGTTTGATCGTAGTCTGGTTTCAACACCCTTTTTTTTTTTTCCACGCATGGTGTTACATGAGTCCATTAATACACTAATTAAGTTTGCCCATGGAATATTATTATCTTCAATAGTATTAACAACTGCTTTAAAAACAGCTTCTGAATTGCAAGATTCCATCTTTAGAGATGCAAAATGATGAACTACAACTTCATTTTGATTGTTGTCATAAAACTGCACCAATATTGCCAGTATACTTTCTTGAGCATTGCTAGTACTTTCATCCAAATTTAGAAAAAATGAAGTGTCCTTTAAAGTTTTAATGATATTTTCCTTAATAGTTTTTGCGAGCCCATATTTCATCTTATAACATGCAGTAGTCCTGGACATTTCCGAGTTTATTGCCGTATGATCACGGCTCAACTGTTTGCAGAGTTCAATTAAATTGGTAGCTACATTGAAAGAAAGAGAATTCTCAGCAATAAACGAAGTTATTAATACCTCTTGGCGTGCTTTTCTTGTCACTATATCCAATGGCAGAGCATCAGTCTCCAGTAAGTCATCAGTATTTTTTGAATTAGCATAATTACTTAAAGTCATTGAATGTCTAATGCACTTTGAAATATTTTATGTGCGTCACAGTTTTAGAATGATTTGTGAAAGCCTTGAATCCTTCCCCACCATACTTCAGCAGTGAGTTACAAAAAACACAATATGCTTGTCCAGCAACATTTATTTTCTTGCACCATGTGCCGATGGTATCCCCATTACCATCTCTCCGTTCAATCCAATTCCACCTAAATGCATTCCGGACACTTTCTTCTAATTGTATAATATCACTATTTATATCGAGAAATTTCATAGTGAAATTCTCTTGCGTACATAAATAAAAAAATATTTCAATAAACGAAACGAAAAATTTACACGTGCATCAATAAATGAAACGAAAATTTTACACAGCGGAGAAAAAAAAGTTGAGAAGCGATCAATGACAAATAGCTAATACGGCGAAAAATCCCCCCTTCTCTACTTATTGGCGCCACGCCAGGAGAGATAAGACCTTTGAACCCAGAGTCACGTGATCGCACATCTGGTCGAACGAAGTCTCTCCCTTTTTTTTTCTGCCGCGCCTACTTGCCGAAAAGAATCCAGAAGAGAATGTCCGAGAACCAGGGGAATGAGTCATAACTCGCAATAAGGAAAGAACAAAAAAGAAGTTTTTTCCCCCTTTTCACGCATTATCACTGCCTTTGGAGAAAGAAAGGAAAAGTTTTCACCACACACACTGACCTTGTGTTTTCTGCTTTCAAAGCAAACAAAATTACCCAGATCAAAATAAATAATTCATTATTATTCCTACTTCCTTTTGAACGACGATCTCCGGAATTTCCGGGATCGAAGTTCAAAATCATCGGAATTCCGGGGTTTTCCCCGGAGCACAAACACCCCTGCCATGTACACATCGACCTATTTCATTAAAAAAACCGAATGCCAAACTAGGACAACTGATGAAGAGCATTGAACTATATTTGAACTATATTCACTTAAAAGTCAAGGAGCAGCCAACAAATATATATATGTATATTTATAGATATAATGTATATATATATATATATATAGATATATCAGCAGGTAGAATTACAATACTCAATGACCAATTAGGCTAGAAAACATCTTGCGCAATGCTGCAAATAAGTAAATTAGAAATTGTAGTAAGCTCGATTAAAAGTTACCAGGAGCTGTTGCTCCAAAAAGTTCAACATGTTTTAAAAAAATTATACTTGAAAATCAAACCATTTAACATGTAAAACATTAAAAAAACATCAGATAAAAAGTAAGTGGAAAATGGTAAATTAGCCTAACTCAACTTCCAAACTGGCTTTTCAGGGAAATTTATTTGTTTGAACGTCGAATCAAGCTAACCCCATTACGCGTTTCGCCGAAACAGACAATTGAAACTTTTCGCTACAAAAATTTTTGAATTTAGACAAAGTGTCTTGGAAAATTTTAATATTCCAATTCTCTGTTCCAATTTCCCGACGCGTCCGCACAAATGACACTTAAGGTTTAAATATGTAAAAACATCCGATACATCTTAAAGCGAACAAAAAAATAAAAATAAAATAAAACATAATAAATGCGGTCTGCATTAGTCCAATTACAAAAACTACGGCAGGGCCTGCAAGCTAAAGATTTATAATTTTATATATTTTAGAACTGTAATGAAATCTTTAAAAAAAAAGAAAATTAGATGAAAACCAACAAAGTGGGCTTGCTAAGACCAAGAAAAAGTTGTACAAAAGAAAAAAAACAGACCTGTGGCGATGCAGAGCTCTACCTCTTAAAACTATTAAAAGAGTTGTAATTCCCTTCGGTGTACTTCAGTCGTGGATGTATGGGGGAGGACGTTTGTGGGCATCAGCCAATACGAAAAGATGGTCCGTTAGCTGCAAACTCGCTCCAATTATCGAAGGGGTCGGAAAACTCGGAAAACGTGAAAGATCTCAAAATCCGCGTCTGACTGTAGTTGGAAGAAAAAATTGGGAAAAAGTGAAAATGGCTATTCAGCTAAAACTACTAAACTTGGCCACAAAAGGAAGAGTGAAAGGAAAAAAACATCATTGGTTAAAAAGTCGATCGCAACCAGCGGCGATCAACACTAACAAACGAAAAGCCCATTTGGTAATAAAGCAGAAATGCATTATAAATTTAAACCTTTACACAATAGTATTTAAAAGTAAATCCCAATTTTGGAGGAAGAGAATGATAAACAAAATTATCTGTACATTTTACATTAATTCTCTGATCAGTCATCCTCTTAACCCCCCTTCGGCTTTAGGCATAAATATCATTATCTAATTCAAAAGCTAAAATAGGTAAGGCAATGCCAGCTTTTTTAGGGTTTGTATTATTTTATAGGATAAGTTACTTTTCAAAAGTTACGAGTATGTATTTCTCTTGTAAGTGGTTTCGCATATTGCAGATTCTTTTTTTCTGAGTACTGTGAAAAATTGTGTTAGTATGACTCTTTTGGAAATATTTGAATTCCAGTTATTAATTAATGGGAAAAAAATTCTCTTCTTTGTCGTAAACTTAATAAAATTGTAATCTATGATATGTAAATCAAGGTAACTACATTATCTTTCTGTATTTGTTTTTTAGTTTTTAGATGCAGGTGATATTGCTACTTATTTTTTGTAGTTGTTAAATGCATGATATCATCAATATATCTATAGATGTGTTGGAAAATATACGTTCTTCTGTACGAGTGAACGACAAGGTCAATTCTTTTTAAAAAGGATAATCACAACAGACTTGAAAATTACCACCCATTGGGATCCCTTACTGTTTATAGATGCTATTGTCATGAATAAATTTTGAAGAGCACGCTGAGAGGATAGTTCCATTTTTCATTGCTAGCATGTACGTCAAAATCTTAATCCGGACTCGTCGGGACTTCGGATTATCGATTTTCCGGATTATAGATCATCAGTTTAAATCTGGTAAAATGGCATGCATAAATTATAAAATTAAAAATATGAAACCGTAATTTATGAAATAAAGAACAATTATGATCTAAAGGGTATCAAAATTTACAAAAAAAAAGCTTAATATTTATTTTGTTTACTTTATTAAACATTTCTTTCAATGTAAGTTGTTTAAGTTGCTTCGTTTTTTTGTTATAAGACATTCTCTTTAATTCTATAAACAGACATAATTTCTTGTTCAGTTACAAGTTCCGCTGTTCAAGTCCTATAATTTGCTGTGTCGAGAATACCGACTAACTTGTCAATCGAAATTTTTTCGTTTTCAATAACCTGTCACTTTCTTCGCTATCGGAAGCGAATTATAATGACGAGGAATTTGATTTAATCATATCAAAACAGATGAAATACTCATTAGTAAGGAATTATAAGCCAAATAAAATAAAAACATCTGCCCTGAAGATAAGGATAGTGCTGACAGATCAACTTCCAATTCATTGCACCCGGCGCGGCGTGAAAGATAAACAATTTTAAAGTTAGAAACTTTATCCTTTTTTTTTGCAGCAATTCCACTTTTTGTTTAATGGACTCGAAACATACTTTCGCTTTGTAGATCCTTTACATATTAGTAAATATATATCGGAAATTCTATTTGACATAATCGAAAGTTCAAGCTTACTTTTATAAAATTGCTCTAACAGTCTGCAAAAAATAATAATAAGCCGGATCCAATTCGAAGATTAAGGAACAACGCAATCTGCAACATTAACTGATGAATTAGATAATTTTAGCTTAGCTTATACCGTCCGTTATACATTAAACGCGCATGCGTAAACGTATTTTGCGCATGCGCACACGCATATTCGCAGCGTAAAGATCTTACGCGCATGCGCACGCGACGCATGCGCAGAAAGTTTGTAGCTTTGAGGTCCGGATATATCATTGATTATGGGTGTCGAAATTAACGACTTTTACTGTAGTATTGCGGAAAATCGGAATACTGAAACTTGAAAAATTTCTTCAAGTGGTAGAGAGTATATATGTATAATCTCCTCAATAACACTTTTAAATGAATCAATAACATAAAAAAGGAATTCGTTTGACTACACAAAGAAAGATCCACGTACCTTATTCTAGTTACCGCTTCATCAACTAAATCCTAAACAGCCAAACTTCTTAAAATTATCTGAACTAGAATCTGTATATTGGCGTTGCCACATAAATTCACAAAAATAAAAGTATCCTCAGTAGGGCCGATATCATTCGACGATACGCATTTCCTTAATACACACAGGACACTTAATAATAGCTACTAAGTAAACCTTCAGTTATACACCAGTCAATTAATGCTTTTTCCCTTTTGTTCTAAATCGTACAGAACTTCAAATTAATTTTACCACATTCAGCTATTTTACCATGTAAACATCAAAATAACAACATACTTATCGAAAATCTGGCACGCACTTTCCATATCTTTTCCCCTGATTCAAATTGACCGCAATCATGCAACCAATTATGTCATAATCGGGTTTCCATAACATTCAACTACTCAGGTTACCATAAATAAACCACTACTTGGCGATAAATGAAACAAAAACTTCATGATAATACAAAGGGTACCCTTCTCTCTACTCTACCCGAGAAATTCATTAACATGTTGGCAACTAATTTTTTAGTTAGCTGATGTGCAAAAGGCAACAGCCATTTTAAAAAAGGTTACACACTAAGAATTCTATACATAAGAAATCAAGCTATATAATAAAAAAAAGTAATAAAATACATCCTTTTTTTTTTTCTGAAGATACTTTTGTTTTGTGCTATTGTTCTCGTCATATACACAGATCTATTTTCACTTAATAAAACATTGGAGAACTGCACAAACTTAACTGTGTACAACTTTCACCTTTTGCACTGGTCAACATGGACATGTGCTATGTGCATGCCTGGATAGCCACATTAGGTTGCCACATAACTATTCATACTGCTTTGCCTCTTTTTACACAACTTCAGCAGAGGTGCAGATAATAAAAAACTACCAACTTATCTAACAAAATGTAATATGAATAGCTTTATGTTATTTGATCCTTCCCATGGAAAGATTTAGGCAACTATCATTGAAAGGGAAGCTGATTTCATACCCTTATATATTCTGAAATTAAATGAAAATGGATCAACTCTTTCGCATCGAAGTCGCCTCAAACACCCGAGCATTCACACATCGGCTAGACGCCCAAAACGCCTGATTAATTTCCTACCTAGTGCTTTCCTCCATTACGTTACTGCATTACTCACTGCTTTCAGGCGTTGTTAAATGACATGTCAATCATTCTTTTGAAGCTACTAAAAGTAGTTCTATTATTTTAATGCACCTTCTCTTTCCTTTGTTTACTGTTAGTGTTTAGCTTTTGATACCCGTTCCAAGGGGGAAACTTTACAACAGGGTGGAACGCCTCCAAGAAGAAGTTCTCGCTGTTACTTAAAGTAGGTTCTTGTTAGAGCTGTAGTATTCAATTTGTCATGGGGAAAGGAAAAGCATTTCAGGAGAAATTCTTAGATCCAGGCGTTTTTGATGTTTGGGGAAAAGAGATTTTGCCCTCTCTCGATGCGAAAGAGTTAAGCATATTATTAAAAGTGACAAAGGGAAAGAAACTTACTTTAGGCTCAGTGTCGATTAGTACTGCACGAGCATAATTCTTCTGATCTTTTTCATTATAAGAAAAAAATCTAGATAACAACAATAAAAATATTAGGGCACGGCAAAAAAAATATTTTATAGATTTATGATCACATTAAAAAGTTTATTTATTTATTTCATTTTGAAATTATAATATGCAAATGCAAGAAATTGCTTGCAAGGTTTTATCAGAAGTTGTTACTACTTTGATGGATGTCTCGCAACAATCCATATTTCATTTTATTTTATTGCTTACATTCATTTTTAGCAAATAAAAAATTAAGATCTTTTGGGCTTACAGCATGCTGATTGTTGAACTATCCCCAAAATGCAAAATTTTTGGCAAAAAAAACATATTCAAATACCAGGAAATAAAGGTGTGTCATTTGCAAAGCATATTATTATAATTAGTAACATGGATCATGCTTTTGCTACAGAAACAGTTTAACAATTAATAGACATCAAAAGGTAAAATAAAATGAAAAGACCATGTCAAAACAGGTCAAATATCAAGGTAATGTTGACTGCTTTCTTTGAATGTTATGGTATTGTGCATCACAATTTTTACTGATGGTATTTGGGCATTTCAATCTGTTGTTCAGTGCATAATTCTTAGAAAACAAAACTTTAATCTGGAAGATATAACTCGCAGATTTTGCACATGATAAAGCCTCTGCTCATAATTTGTCTCTAAAAATTCAACAAACATAACTTTACAAGTTCTATACTGACATGACTTGTCGACATATTTCATGATAAAAATTACTAAATTGTGAAAATTGTTTTCACTAATGGAATAGAAGGATATTATTAATTGTAAGTTGTTTCAAAAAAACATGTTCTGTGGGTTGGAAAAAAATATGGTATATGTGCATCAGATTGAAAGAAATTAATTTGAAAGGTATATATAATAGATACTGAACAATAAATTGAAATCTAGTGATTTATGGAAACAGTTCCTGATACATTTTGATACAATACGTATCAAAATACAGTTGATCTTTGGATTATGGTAACGGCGATTTTTTGGCGACCAACTCTGCTACAGCAACCCCCTATTTTTTTT